AGTCATTGAAAGGCAACTCCATAGATTGTCCACCTATGATAATACATGATTCTAGAGGTACAGTCACAGCTGGAGTGGATACCAATTTCATAGAGCATTGCACCATAGAGCATCAGCTTGCTTCAGGAGCAAGGTGATGATGATGATGTATGCGTTGCTAGAACCACATCCATAATCACCCTGTCCCCCCAACCCGGTTGACTAATGACAACCATTTTCCTAGGTAAGAGCAGGACGAGAGACTTCAGCCAAAACGATTGATATAGGAAGCCTAGCTTTGAACTCATTCACAAAAGCCTGGACGCCCTTGACTAACCCAAGGCTTATTGAGCGAAGCGATGAGTTGACGCATGGCCTAAATCAACAAATAAGTGAAATGCCATACACCACAGTTCTCATCGCTACTGCCCTCACGAGCGCAAACTGACAACCCGAACATCGTCTCGAGAGGGAAGAAAACGGCAATTTATCAGCTACATGCTGGGATTAGTCGGGAGCATGGAGTTCATCTCCGCCATCATCTGTTATGATGCCTGGAACGCCAGAAAAGATGAGAATACGTAAGGAGGTGAAAAGGTCACCTAAATAGCGGTCAAGTTCTGCGAGATCCATATCTTCCGCGACTCGGTCCGGGACAATCGTATATGTTGTACCACCTTGAGGAGCTTTCCTCGTTCTCTGCCAACGACCCTTGTGTAAATCAATAGTAATAACCGAATACCTCGGGAGGAAGTCCGACTTCACTGATTATGGCCCCCCACCGTTCTAGTCTGCAAACTGATTGAGATCGCATCCGGTCGACATGGCCTATCATGAAGCTGTGATACGAAGTGTCTGTTCGCAGATCCAGACAACACGGTCGACCGAGCGCCGTGAGAAATAACAGTAGTGTTGTTGTTAGGCTCACCAGTTGAATTGCCTCGCACTGTACTCGCAGTGCCTGGCCGAGCTTCTGGGGGAACCGAGGGCTCGACAGTCCTCATGTTCACACAGTCACCACTGAGGCTCTCTACCATATCACACTGACAGAGTCTCTAAACCGTCACATTTTCATACGTTCAAGAGGAACACAGTCGAGATCAGGCTCAGTAGTCGTCAGCTTGCGGATTTCAAATGTATGCCCACCGCTCAGAGGGCGGCGGGGGCGACTCGATCTTCCTGGCCGAGAGCCCGGTCCCAATCCTACAAATTGTGTAACACTGTTTTGTGCTCCCTATAATAGGCGTTATCAGGGGGGAGCGAAAAAATGAATAGTTCTCTGTTTTTGGCGAATATCTAGACTGGGCGAATTCGAGGTAAATGCTACATTGAATATAGCGTAGTTCAGCATACCGCTGACAGTGAGACTTCTGTACAGAATTGGATGCGAGAGGCTGCCCACCCACGTCGACTTGATACAGTTGAAGAGGACCGCTTGAGTTGCTTCTTCGCTAAGCTCTTCACTGAAAGGCTGTTGACAATAAGAAAGGATCCCGGGGAGATCTCGCTGGGGTCTTGTTTGGTGTTGCCTGCAAAGCCAGAGTAAACCAAGCATATTAAACATCAAAGCACACAGAGAGAGAACCGCTTAGCATTAGAGCGGAACAAAACGAGGACGAACGACCCACCGGCAGGAGCATGAGCCGTCTTGGGCCGAGCCCGGCCCGACTTCAGTGCTGATCCCTGAATGGGGGTATCCTCATTTTCACAATACTGTCGCCTCACTTTCACTCCATGATAAATCCAAGGGTGCTGAGATGCACTTGCTAGGAGCTCTGAGCTTGCCCTTTGTCGGGATAGGGAAGCTGCTGATCCCGTAATGGAGAGCTCAGCACAGTTATTCCCTAGAGGAGTGTCATCATCGTTGCCTCCAACCAGTGGTGATGGGATTGAAACCAACTGTCGCTTCCGTTCTGAGCGATACGACCATCGGTTATATCAACTTCATATTTCTTGTTCTCACGAGGGCAGGCACGAGTCGCTTGCCTCAGTGCCAGACATCCGATATGTGTGTGATTTCAGAGCGCATAACATTGATTGTTGATAGTAATTCGACGATTCGAATTCTCACCCGCTTTCTGTTTTAGCCTTAGATTTCTATACAACTTCATTGAACTGCTATCGAGACCATAGCCCTTTTTCGCTTTGACTTTATCCGATGGTATTTCACATGTTAGCTCAGTCCGGTTGAGAGCCACTCCACGGTCCTGAAAACACACTCTGGTATTTAACAAACTGAGAACTTCTAGGATCGTTCCAACAGGAAAGTCAATGCTGTATTATGTTGCAAGTTCTACTGAAAGCCATAAAATGATGCACAACGGAGTTTCACCAATTTTACGTGGAGTGGCGTAATACTCCGTGAAAAACCCGACTTTCGCTGTATATAGAAGTCGGGAAATATGTTTTTTGTCTCACGGGTGAAACTCCAATGAGTTGTATGGTGACTCAGCAGCAGATCGTCTGTTTCTCACTCGGTGAATAGCAAAGCTGCTGTTCGGTCGTCCCACATCTCCTCTTGCCGTTATTGTCCTCAATCGAGACGGTCCTCGGAAGTTTGCCGTTCTAGGTCTACGGACGAGGTTATCTGGCAGTGTAATTAACTTTTGACTTGTGGACTTTTCGTACTATCACTTTCCTCCTGAGACGCCGTTTGTGCGATGTGGGCAGTACTCGGTCGGAGCTTGTCATCGCTAGTAGCTTTCATGCTTCCAGATGACCTTATGAACCTTTTATTGCTATCAAAGCTTGGACGAGTCAGCGTTTGTGAATCAGAGGAAAGCACCGCACTGAGGGAGTCAGTCATTGTTGAACAACATAGTTCCTCTCTTGCAGAAGACCGCACCGGTATTGTTAGGTAGTATGAATCTCAAGTTCGACTATAATGTATTTTCTCGAACATGCACGCTTTTGACAAAACCAAGGTACACCCGATGCGCCATACTTCTCACCCTGTCAACCTCCAAATGAGGCAACGACATTCTAATACAGACTAACGGTTGTCTCGCAGTTTATTGTAGTTTTAATTCCGAGACCACCGAACTATCTATACACGTAGGGGGTTCAATACCACCCCAATGGTGAGTCAACTTCTAACAAATAGGTCTTCTCACACGAGGGAGAGTGGGTGGTCGTCGATTTGTTTCGACTTGCTGCCCGGCTCCCTCCTTCCTGTTATAGCTATCCTCCGCCCTCCTGCACTTTGCACAACATCTCCGTTCGGGTAATCCAAAAACGGTCCAAATCGATATCGATTTGATAGCCATGAACATGATTTGAACTGTCCCGCCTGGAAACAGTAAATCCTGGAAATGGTGAAGAATGAGTGAACCCGTATGCGGGACTTTTTGACCCACTAAAACTGGCGAAAGACTGATAATATCGAACAACAAACTCGCCCCGGGCGACTCACCCGTCTCGGTATCATGCATATCAGGCTGATGTATGACCTAAATTGTACATTTAGGTCCCCCACATTTTCCCATACATTGAGGACCTAATGGTTCCTGAATGGTCCACGAATGGCTGATATTATCAGCCATTCCTGTACCATTTCCTCCTGGGTCAGAATCAAACATAAACAATCTCCACTTTCTCCCGAGGTATACAGCCAATTTGAGCCCCTTTGACCACTGTGAAAGAGATGAGTGTCCGACGTTTGAGCAGTATCATCCCAAGAGGAGGAAATACTGTCATCATCACCATAGTCAACTTCTTCGTTACCGTACATACCAACACGACTCTGTTGATAATCTCAGGAGAGAGATGGAAAAACTTAACTTAATCACTTTTGGGACTTCGCCCTGAACTACTTCAACCGTTTCATGATGAACAACGAAGTATCAAAATCTCAAGACAGCAAGATTGTTCTAGAGAGCGAATGATAATCTAACAACTGCAAGTCTATGCGGCATTTTCTCCATCACGTTTTGTTTTGCTATTCACCCACATTTTTCCATCGACCAACATTTATATTTCCCCGCACTGATAGTCAACACAATCCCATCACATATCGAGCACCAGGGATGTCACTATCATGATATTCAGTCTTCCGCCTCCTCATCTTCGTCATCAGGATTCTCACCAGCCTCGTCTTCCATCATGTCTCCCTCATCCTCTGAGTTTCCTCCCTGATTTCCACCCTCCTCATCATGCTCCGGCTGCCCTGCGCCCCCCATGGCCTTTGCTCGCAACTCACTCAGTGCATAAATCTCCTGCGACGACTAAACTAGACGTTGTAGTAACCAAGAGCAACCCCACCGAAGGGCCGGGCTTGGCCTTAATCTCTCTTCCCACACGAGCCAGCTCCGCCTCAAGTCGATCGATAAGAGGATAGGCCACCTGTCACGATTCAGTGTCATCGACGGACCATCTGTCCTCTGAACCTTCTCAGAAGAACGTTTGAGCTCCTCCCAGGCATCATCCAAATTCTTCTCCAACGTCTCCGATCGTTCATCAATTATTGGCATCATATCCTCCATATAGAGCAGATATCTAACGACCCGACTGGAAGCCTATAGCGATGGCGAGTCCTTCAACCCTATTTCCATCATCACCACCACAACAATTAAAATTTCTATCGCGCATCATCTAAGCATACGTCGACTCTAGAGGGCCCCCAACCGACGTGAAGTATAAGACGGCCGAGCCCACCCTGAGCCTGGCACTCTCCTGCATCGCACTGATCCGGGAGACGCGATGACCAGTCCGGTAGTATTCGGACGATTACTAAGCTAAGGCCATCATGGTCGCCAGCTTCCCTTCAGCGTATCTCCTCTCTCCAATTTGGCTCATCTCAGTATCAACCTCCGACACGCCAGTCGCCAACTAAGGCAAGGAAGGCAGCCTCATATTATTGTGAGAGGACTCAGCAACACACCCTCTTCTTTGATGCATCGCGATCCCGACCGGGTTCGCCAGTTCGTTCCCTCGGTGGCTCATCACCCTCCTCTCCCGCCGACTCGTCAGCTCTCTCACCTCCGTCATCTTCTTCCTCCACTTCCTCATCGCCTTCGCCTTCCCCGTCATAAACTTCATCATCATTAACTGACTTCATCTGAAATGTCCACATAAAAATCCCACAGCAAACAGTAGGCGCCACCTCGAGCAGCGACTCGGGAGCTACCGCGATGAGATCATCTAAGAATAGAAAATCCACTATAACTCATCCTGCCGAGACTGACCTGCAGTGACGACCCAAGAGTAGTCCTGATGAGCGGCAGCTGAGTCGTGGAAAGCCGTAGAGATCTCGCCGACATCGAACCGGCATTCCGACATGTCATCATTTTGCATTGTGATCTCCACCGATTCCCCCGGAGGCTCGGAGGGATCCCAGGGCTGATCCCAAGGAGGGTTAGCGAAACCCACTATTCTGGTCTCAGCTACTGCATGGTAATATCTCCTTGATGGATTTGGTAGACCTGACTAGTGAAGCCCTCAAACACCGAGGAACCCCGAGCTCTTTACAGCTCTTCCCGTCACGATAATCCTGTTGGAGCTTACTGGTGTTGACTATAACTCTTACAAAGCGATCATCAGCCTTGCTGTAGAGTTGAAGGACGCTCCCGTACACACTGGAAGTGCCTGATAGAGCACCAATTTTCGCATGACACCATAGAAAAAGCAAGATTGATATCGCATGCGGCGAATCCCTCCAAGTCAGTCAAGGCAGGGGAAATGGACTCGAGCGAGAAGAAGAGGAAACACCCTAGCCGACCTGGATCGACGAGTGGCGCTGTTTCCCCGAGATAACTGTGACCACTACGAAGGTCACTAGGTGGGAAGAAGAAGTACCCGTGCAAGGAAACGAACTCGAGGTCTCCTATACCAGGAAGTGGGATTCTACCAAGGGACTAATGAGGCACGAGTGATGACCAACATCCGCCTCACCCGCGAGATGGAGCTGCGGCACTCAGTGAAATATAAATCGCCATAAACTCCAGAAGTATCTAATCGTACAAGGGAACGCTGTAGCGCCCTCCTCTCAAGATGACCTCACCAAATGACTGCAAACCCGACCCTTTTGAGCGTGTTGATGCATGGCAACAACAACCTACCCAACCATAGTGAGGACTAAACGCAGAGCTCAGTCGTGATAGACTAGAAAGGCATTATGAACATGAAGTGGGGGATGATAAAGATGCCATGACTACTACAGCGTGCATAATACTAGTATTACTAACCTCAGCCTCTACAATTGAATCTTCTAGACAATACTCGCATACTCATAATAAACTTCACCCTATTGTCACAACTTGTCATCAACTACAACCTGTTTTGCATCTTGCATGCTCAACCTCAAGATACTAATTCTATCAACGACAGAACGGCAAGCACTTGCGCTTAGACCGCGGGCCGCCACCTCGAGCCACTCTATCCTTCAACTCCTTTATCTCTTCTCTCAACTTAGTCATCGCCTCGTGTGCCGCCTACCAAGGCTACACAGTCGTCAACTACTCCACTACTACCATAATTCTGTCGTCACTACTACCTCTGTCGCAGCTGCCTTCTCCTCGTACACTACCCTTATGGCCTTCTCTCGGCCATCCACCTCTGCGCGTAGTCGCGCTCGGACCTCCTCATTTTCACCCTCCAGCTGGGCTACCCTCGCGCGCCATTCAGCAACGTTCTTCTCATGATCAGCAGCCATGTCTCGAGTGGTGGTGAAGAGAGCAAGCTCGGCCTCTTTGACGCCATTCTCCGCCTTCTCAAGCTCGGCTGCGGCTTTCTCCAACTCCTCGGTGAGACGCGCGATTTCGCTGAAGTTAAGGATGAGCAGAAACCACTCAAATCAAAAAAGTACCCAGTCTTTCCAATGAGAGTCTCAGTGAGCGTATCGATCTCATTGTTCTTCGAAGATTCGAAGTCATCCTGAAAAATGACCGCTCCGGGAATCGAACCCACGACCTCACGCAAGCCAGCCACCTTGCCCTCTTGAGCCTCCTTCATCCTCTCCTCCGTACTAACCAGAACATCCTCCAACTCTTCCTTCTCCCTTGTGAGCTCTTCCACTTGCTTCTCGAGCCTCTCAAGTTTACCCTCCCAGCTCTTGTTCGCCTGCGATTCTCTCTTCCTCGCAGTATCTGCCGCACTCTGATGGCAGACAGGAATGCTCCTAATCGTATCAACCATATAGTGCATTGCGATAATTCTACAGGTACATAACGAACGATATCCTACTATCACCTTATACCACGCCTTCCAATCTTTACACTCAAAACTAACATCAAGTTACGGGAATACCATCCGACACTCTTCCACGGCGTGGTGATTACCACACCGCGAGTGCGTAGTGTTGATCATCTCGGTCGAGGTGAACTTGTAGTCACTAATGACAGGCTTATTCCGAAAGCGGAAGACGCCGATATTCGACAAGAAGACAGTTCACTGAGTGATGACCACGGCTTCTACTCGAGTTCCGACGACACTCCATCTATGGTTTCCTATATTCCTATGGAGGATGTAAACGAGCAACTTGCTAATCATAATAGCAACACCCCTGAAGTTGCTGAGGGTCCACATGCATTGTCTGGTGATGGTCCTCCCGCTGCTATTAGACCAAGAAATCGTCATCCCCAGCACGTTTTGTACCGGTGGTGATCCCCGTGAACTTAGTTTCGATAAAGATGGATCCCCCTATCGAGCCTCAGGCTCGAGTGACGAACACATGCAGTTGACCATGTGCATACTTTACCACTGGTGAACTTCATGTGTTGGTGATGCAATGAAAATTTTATGAGGAAATATTGAGAAGATTTCATTGGTTCCGATACACTTCTACCCGAACTCGTATTCAAACTTTTATGATCAGCTGAGACAAGCGAACCCATGTATATTCCAATACTGCTCTTTCGCACGTAGGACATATTCCATCGCTGAGGACTTTACTCCTGCGTTGATTCCAGCATGAGGACTCCTCCCACTTACCCCTCACACTATCAGTCATCCTCTCCATCTCACCCTCCTTCCCCTCCAACTGGGCCAGCAGCTCCTCCTCCTTCCTATCCCGTCTAGTCAACTCCTCCTCCAGCTCGGCCACCTTAGCCGTCAGATCCTAACACGAGCCCTCCGCCAACCTTTAAACCCAGAGCCTACCACCAAGGCGGTCTTCTTCAGCGTATCAATACCTGCCAGAGCTTCATCTCGTTGACGCCTAGTGAGCTGTTCATCGTGAGATATGCCTTCAGCCTTCTTATCTAACTCAGTCACGAACAGGCCACTTATCTGGATGATCTGAAAAAGGAGTGGTATTGAACAAAACACTAACGGTTATTCCACCTTCTCAGCAGCAACCATGA